AGAGAGAGAGAGAGAAACACAGCAAATGCTTATCCTCCAACCCAATCATTCCAATAGAAATGAAAATATATATCACATGAAGACTTGTAACATTTATCTATATAAGCTTCTTTTACAATAATAAAAAGTAGAAGCAATCCAAATGTCCCTCAAGTACACATTATAGAATATCTGTACAACAGAATTCTACTCAGTGATTTAAAAAACAAGAAGGAATTAGTGACACATGCAACAACGTGGGTCAATCATTTTTATTTTATTTTATTTTATTGGCAGTGTTGGGGACTGAACCCAGGGCCTTGTGCATGCCAGGTAAGCAATCTACCAACTGAGCTACATCTCTAACCACCTGAGTCACTCATAAAATCATTATTCTGAGTGAAAGAAGCCAGACAACACACAGAACATGCTATGAACACCACATTTATATAAAAATTTTAGGATATGCAAATAAATCTATAGTCATGTAAAACTGAACAGTGATTATGTAGGGTCAGGGGTGAAGGGAAGAACAAACTATAAAGGGTATGCTAGAAATATTTTGTATCGTGATTGAGGCGATGGTTTGTTGCATACCACAGACATATGTAAAAACTCTGAAGTTGTAGATATTATAGAGATCAAGATTATTTTATGTAAATTATCCTTCAATAAAGCTGATTTTTTAAATATCACTTCTTTGAAACAGCCTGGACACAGGAATAAATGTTATGCTAATTGCTTTCAACAAGTTCACAAATATCACTCTGAATATCACTCTTAGAAAATGGAAGATTGGCACTGATCATATTTTGTTTTCATGTTGCCCTATTTTTGAACCACAAATTTATATTAGCAAGAGAGGACCAAGATTTAACCTGTGGCAGACAGAATCTGAAACACTGATCTCCTTTTCACTAAATCACTGAGCAAAGAACAAACTAAGTGAATGCAGTGTATAAAAAATTAATAAAATTGCTGATTCAATTCAGGCTACTGATTACATCCACAGTGAGAAACAAAGAATAGCATTCACTTGCAGCCCAGAGCTGCATGAAGTTGAAACATCCCCCAGTAAGCCAACAGATACTTTTCTGGAGGATGAAATTAGGAAGAAAGGCCTACTTCTTAACAAGTTATGGACTTCACACCAAGAGTGGTTTAAAGAGACATTTTAACTAACCGTGAATTAATGAGTAATATATAATTTCACACAAAGATTGTTCAACTGAATATAACCAGTTTTAATACACCTATGACTAAATAATACTTTAAATACTATGTTTAGAATAAAAATGCAAAACAAACCTACCGAAGAAATGATCTAATGTTTTCAGCTTTCATTTCTGACAACAGTTTCCCTCGTATACTTTGACCATGGT